TAAAAGTCAAGTAGTAATTTATATGCCACACGTGACTGTTACTTTACAAATTTATTATTAATCAACGTAAAAACCACCTAACTTTAGATGATCCCTATGTATAGTGATTGGTAATCTGGTATGTAATACTAGCGATAATCTTTAATAAAGTTTTATGTCAATAGAATTCAGTAATACAATCACATTTTTAAATCTTTAAATAGGTATTACAGTATTAAGGCGGTCAAATTTATCGGTTCCGACTTACTTCACCGACAATCATTTCATTGACAGGTCATTTAGAAAATATCACACCACGCGACAATTTACTAAAATATATGTAATTGTCATGTTGTGCAGTTGTGTGATGTCGGCTAAATGTAGAGTAGTTAGTCTTAAGACCAATCTGAAGATAAAAAAATTGATCTGCTCTTAGTCTTAAGACCAGACAAGTCTAGACTGGTCAACTCTTAAGACTGTAGACTATTAAAAGCTGGACCAGACCGAACTGTTAACACCCCTAGCTAAATGCCTGCTCTCGCACCGAATGGATTGAAATGATTCTAATTTTATCATATACGTATATTCTAGAATAAGTGTATCGTGAATAAAATTATACTGATTATTGTAATTTGTGGCAAAAATGACTATAAAGTTCTCCGAAATTAGTAAGTTTACACATAACAATAAAATGAGTTGGATTAAAATTTAATTAATTTATTCGAATACTTTTAGTCCTTTTGATCAGCAAAAGCTAAAAAACGTTTAAGGGTAGTCCGCAGTTGAAAGGCCAAAAAAGTTCATTGTAAAAATCGGAGCAATTTTACTATTTGCCTTATATAAAAGCGGAATGCCAAGCATACCTTAGTAAAAAAAAATTGAAAAATATTCATGTCTTGTGATATATCTAATCGATTTTGACGACTTATTGTCATTAGAATCAAAAAGGTTAGCTCTATAACTTTGATTAGAAGCCAAAAGAAGGTTTGTTTAATAAAGAAAAATCACAATTATACGTAGGAAACCCATTTTGTACAGTAAAAAATAGTACTTTAAATTCAGATTTTATTTATTATAAAATTTGCCAATTTTTTAGCCCTTCAAAACCGATTTATCTCTTAAATTTTTAGTTGAAACTTTTAAACATAGCTTATTTGCTTACATACATTTAAACATAACTTATTTGCTTTCATACATTTTAACATAGTTGCATACATAAACGAAAAAAAAAGTCGAATAATCTATATTGTTAAAGTAAAAGATGTATTTCAGATATGCCAGAAGAAAAAAAAAACAAAATAAACAATTAATGTTGAAAGTCGAAATTCAGAAATGCCAGAGAGAAAAACAAATTAAAAATAAGAAAATTAATTGAAAAATGAGCTTATTCTGTATTACATCTAATTAACGCTCTACGTAATAAGTCTATAATTTAATCTATTAATATTCAAGAAGCTTTTGTTTTGTCAAGACCTTCTTAGTCCATAGTTTTATCTATAGAAAGGAAATGCCAGAATATATGTCAGTTGGAGATTGAGAGGGCGCCGCTTGATTTCTTGTTCCTGGCGGTTTAGGGAAAGCACTCGGTTGTCCTTCATATATGTTTTCATATAATCGAATTGAATTTTCTGATGACGGGTTTAAGTGGACATTGTTAGGAGGTTGACCTCCAAATGCTTGATTCATGGGTTGGTTCATTGGTTGATTCATGGTGTCGTTAATTTTTTTTTTTTTTTATTCAAGTGAGTAAAAGAGAAGGAAACCCCGATTTTTTTATAAAAACTTATCAATATCTAAATTATAAGTTGTTTATTTAGATAAAAAAAAATTGAGGGAGAAAAGTACCTCTTTTTATACATAATTTTCCAGTATATAAAATTAATATTAACGGTTTTTTTCCATATTTGTTAATTTATTAGAAAAGTAGTTTATTATTTA